ATAAATAAATAAATAAATAAATAAATAAATACACATACATGCATAGTCTACGTACTCAAACATCTGTCATTGTAATAACATTTGTTGTTCTTGTTATTCTTGCTAATAAATTGTGGACCAGTAACATGATGCTGGAGTTGTCTTACTGCCCATCTGTATGTGCAACCAACATCATTCTCTGCCATTTGGACAAATCTATCCATTAAAAAAAAGCACAATTTAAAGCACCATAAATGTTGGTTTGATCCAGTCCTGAGATTAATCATCTTCCTCTACAGGGTGATTTTTGTTTTGTTTTGTTTTTGCGTGAGGGACATTAGTCTGTCACAGTCTTCAGCTGGTGTGCCCTAGATGGCAGTGGTGTATAAAGTACCCGAAAGCCATACTCAAGTAAAAGTAAAGATATCTTACAAGAAAATGACTTTGGTAGAAGTTGAAGTAACCCTTTAGAATATTACTTGAGTAAAAGTCTTAAAGTATGTGATATTTATTGTACTTAAGTACGAAAAGTATTTTTTTTTCTTAAACGTACTTGAAAAATGAAAATTTGATGTTTATCTGCTTACCCCCAGGGCATCCAAGATGTAGGTGACTTTGTTTCTTCAGTAGAACACTAACGAAGATGTTTAAGTCAAACCGTTGCAGTCTGTCAGTCTTATAATGCAAGTGGATAGGAATCACGGCTATGAGAGTCAAAAAAACAAATTAAACCCTGCAGCTCATGACGATACATTTATGTGTAAAGACACGAAACGATCGGTTTGTGCAAGAAACTGAACAGTATTTATATCGTTTATTACCTCTAATTTTCCCCGCAATGTCCGAACTGTCCAGAGAGCATCCTGAGCGCGTTCAACAGCCAGTGCCTGACACGTCTTATTCTTCTTCTTTTTCTTGCTTTATGGCAGATCGCAGACTTATAAGTGCATTACCGCCACCTATCTCTCAAACGGACCATTGACACTCTATCTACAATCTCAATTAGGAGTGTCAATGGTCCACTTGAGAGATAGGTGGCGGTAATGCACTTATAAGTCTGCGATCTGCCATAAAGCAAGAAAAAGAAGAAGAAGAAGCCGCGTCAGGCGCCGGCCGTTGAACGCACTCAGGAGGACGCGCCGCCACTCAGGACAGTTCGAACAGTTCAGACATTGAAAAATCAGAGTCAGAGGTAAAAAACTATATAAATACTGTTCAGTTTCTTGCACAGACCGATCGTTTAGTGTATTTACACATCAATGTATCGTCACGAGCTGCAGGGTTTAATTTGGTTTTGTGTGTGTATGATAAAAAGCATACAGAAGCATTTTTGCCGTCTACAATTTAGAATGCCTTGAATTTTGAGTTTTAATATACAAATAAATCAAAATGCCTGCACTCTGTGTGTGATTTGGTGATATAGCCTACTTGATAATGTCAGATCGCACATCAGTACAACAACACTTACCATATTATCACAGACAATGCTGTATCGCACACCCCAGACTCAAATTGAGTGAAAAATTAATCATCCTTCTTCTTTTTTAGGAGTCTAACTTGCAAACGCCAGACCACTTATTCGTCAAACCTGCTTTCCTGCAGTCCGTGTTCTGCTGACTTCTGACTATTTTGTAGTAAGTAACGAATATGCTTCACGCACATCAGTACAACAACACTTACCATATTATCACAGACAATGCTGTATCGCACACCCCAGACTCAAATTGAGTGAAAAATGAATCATCCTTCTTCTTTTTTAGGAGTCTAACTTGCAAACGCCAGACCACTGACTCGTCAAACCTGCTTTCCTGCAGTCCGTGTTCTGCTGACTTCTGACTATTTTGTAGTAAGTAACGAATATGCTTCAGCGAAATGTATCGGAGTAAAAGTATACATTTTAATTAGGAAATGTAGTGGAGTAAAAGTAAAAGTTGGCTGAAATATAAAAACTCAAGTAAAGTACAGATATTCCCAAAAAATACTTAAGTACTGTAACGAAGTATTATTACTTCGTTACATTACACCACTGCTAGATGGCCACCAGAGGACACTCCTGTCTTTGTTATAGCACATGGCTTGTAGTGTGATTCTGTTGATACGCGAAATTCAGATGGAGGGCAGGAAGTGAAAAGCAGAATGGATGAAATGGAGGGAAGTCTGTACTGTACTGGTTTAGACACTATTACAAGAGAAAGGTATAAACAGAAAATCACAGCATATGTTGGACATGATCCTTATGTTATAAAGAGCAGCATTGTTCAACTAAATTGAAATACTTGCCTGCCATCGAGGCGGTGGATATAGGCTAAGCAACTAACTGCAAAAAATTTGAAAGTGAA